ACACACACACACACACACACACACACACACACACACACACACACACACAAAGAAAGAAAAGAAGAAGGCTGGGGTAAGAGAATCGTTGGGACTTTGAGGCCCACTTGGGCTACATAGTGAGTTCATGTTCAGCCTGAACTACGTAGTAGGACCTTGACTTTAAAAAAAAAGAAAAATTAGGAGGTAGGAAGGGGCTCTTTGAAACAAATTTTATGGATCTGAATTTAATTAATTAATTAAGTGGTAGTGGTACTGGGCATTGAACCTCAGGACCTTAGTACTGAGTAACATCCCTAGAACTTTTTTATTTTTAATTAATTAATTTTTTTTGGTATTGGGGATTGAACTTGTGAGGCAGGCGGCAGCACCACTAACCTAAATCCCCGGCTTTATTTTTAATTTTTGAGACTAGGTCTCCCTAAATTGCTCAGACTGGGTTTTAATTTGCAATCCTTCTGCCTCAGCTTCCTGAGTAGCTGGGATTACAGACAGGTGTGTGCCACCATACCCCATCTGAATTTTTTTTTTTTTTTTGAGACAGGGTCTCACTATATAGTTGTGACTGACCTGGAACTCATTATGTAGCCCAGGCTGGTCTCAAACTCACAGCGATCCTCCTGCCTCAGCCTCCTGAGTGCTGGGATTACAGGCGTGCGCCACCACACCCGGCTGAATTTTCTGTTTTTTAAGAATTAGACAAGGCTCTGTAGCTTTGTATAGTCTGTTCATCAGTATAATCTAAAGACCATCACTTTTTTTTTGTTTTGAGACAGGGTCTCACTATGTAGTTGAGACTGACCTGGAACTCACTATGTAGCCCAGGTTGGTCTTGAACTCACAGTGATCCTACTGTCTCAGCCTCCCAAGTGCTGGTATTACAGGCGTGCGCCACCACGCCCGGCTATAGACTGACTTCTTTAGGGCCTTCCAGAAGAAATAAATTTTTCAAATTATTTTTGTAAGTACAAGTCAGTGTCTCCATTTGTCAGATAAGTATAGAGCTGTCCATCATTTGGGTCTCCAGAATAAACATCATCTCCATAGGCTTTCTCAGACATCAAATAAAAAGGATTACCACACCCCCAGTTACTCTCTAGCTATTAAATCCCCCTTTCTCTTCCACTAAATTGTTCCTGAGCTACATCCCTAGCCTTTGTATTTTATTTTACTTTTGAGGCAGGGTCTCACTATGTAGTTCAGGCTGGCTGGCCTTGAAGTCACTATGTAGCCCAGGCTGACCTCAAACTTGAGGTGATCCTCCTGCCTCAGCCCCTAGAGTGCTGATATTACAGGTGTGTGCTACCATGCCTAGTTTAATAACTGCTGTTTCTAAATACAGTATCTATATTTAGAATTAGCTCAAAATGGGCGTGGTGGTACATGTCTGTAATCCTAGCACTCTGGGAGGCTGAGGTAGGATTGCAAGTTTGAGACCAGCCTGGGCAATTTAGTGAGACACTGTCTAAAATAAAATAGCCTAGGGATGTGGTTCAGGGCTGAGGCTATAGGTTCAATCTCCAACACCCCCTCCCAAGTTAAAAAAAAAATAGTTCAGACTCCTTTATGTTGCTTGGCTTCTACTCTGTTTTTAGACTATCTGTTTTAGGCTAACTGGCTTTTTTGTTGTTGTTGTTTTGGTTTGTTTTTGTTGTCATCGTTTTGTTTTTTTGAGACAGAGTCTTGCTATGTAGTCCAGGGTAGCCTTGAACTCAATATTGTAGCCTGGGCTGGCATTTAACTCTTGGCAATCCACCTGCCTCAGCCTCCCAAGTGGTAGGTTTACAGGAGTGCACCACTGTGCCTTACTGAACACAGATTTCTTTGCCCCTCCACCTTTTTTTGTATGCGTGTTGGGAACTGAACTCCAGACCTTCTGTTGGCCACTGAGCTAAAATCCCAGCCTCTCTCCTTCAATAAAAATTCAAGTTCTCTGAGAGCAGAGACCTTGCCTTCAAATTAATGGCTTTATTTCCAAAGCTAGAGTAATGTCTGGAACTTGTAGTGTATGCCCAGTATTTGTTGAATAAGTAAGTGATTCACGGGCCGGGGATTTAGCTCAGTGGTTCTGCTGCCTGCCTCTCAAGCACAAGGACCTGGTACCAAAAAAAAAAAAAAAAAAAAAAAAAAGAAAGAATTGCTAGTGCCCGTGTATTTAGCTCAGTGGTGCCGTTGCTTGCTTTACAAGCATAAAGTCCTGAGTTCAGTCCCTGTACCAATAAATAAATAAATAAACAAACAGTGCTATCCGGAAAATAAAACAAAACAAAAAGAATACAAAGAATTGCTAGCTGGGTGGTGGTTCATGGGAGGCTGAAGCAGGAGGATCAATGTGAGTTCGAAGCTACCCTGGCCTACAGTGTGAGTGCAAGGCCGGCCTGAACTACATAGCAAGACCTTGCCTCATTAAACAGAACAAAACAAAAATAAGAATTACTGTTGCGAAGTTAGATCCTGGAAAATTGTGAAGCCGAATAACAGCAGGTCTGTGGCTGAAGGCTGGGGGAAGTGGAGGAAATATACTGAACTTTTTGGCCTTTTTTCCCTAGCCAAGGAACCCAAAGCCCTTGCAAAAAGGCGACCTGGAATCTTTTGATGAGAAAGTCTAGCCCAATCACAATGGGTATTTTTTTCTTCAGTCTTCTTTCTTCACTTCTTGCTAGGCTGCAAATGCGCAAATACCTTTAGGACCCCGGGTTAGTCTGTTTCTTTATGAATGAACCGGATCACATCTACGCTTGCGCAGCTGCCGCTCTCCCGCTCCACGTGAGACCCACCCTTCTCTCGGGCTGGTGGCCCCGCCTTAATCCTTTCTAATGGACCAATGAAGAGCGGGCTGGGGGGCGGAGCCCGGAGCGGCAGGGCACTGAAGTTCCCTGGCGCCAGCTCCCTCGCCTTAGTCTTGCAGTGTTGTGATCACGTGGCCAGCTCCCGGCGCGGCGCCTGTTTTGGTTTTTCTTTGGCTTGCCTGGGGTAGCTGCGGCGCGAGCGACTTTCTGGGTTGGGTTGCCTTTTCGGGCTCTCTCGGCCCGCAGTTTGCAAGCCCCTTGGGGTTGGTTTCTGCCATGCCGCTGGTCCGCTACAGGAAGGTGGTGATCCTCGGGTACCGCTCTGTAGGTGAGCTCCGCCCCGCGCAGAGCGGGAGCGCGCCCAGGGCAACCGCGGTAACGCCGAAGGGTGCGAGGTTCGGAAGGACAGGGGCAAAAGGCTGAGGTTTGTGAGGGCTGCAGGAAGCGGAGCACGTAAGGGTTAATGTGGACTTGGCTGCAGGAACATCAGAATAGTCCTCGCTGTTACTCTGGGAGTAGGGGTGGAGTCGGGATTTGAAGGTACCGGGCGTGGTCTTCGTGGGGCAATTGGTCGCAGGTGTCCTGGGGCGGGGTGGGGTTTATTTTAGGGAATCTAGGATCTTCTGAGGATGTGGTGGGGAAAGTTGGCTGGAAAGCCTGCGGTGAGGGGCTGCAGAATTGGGAAGTATGGCCATAACACAGAGGGCGAGGGTAGGCTAAAGGAAAGCCTTGCTTGAGACGTTCACTGACTGGACTGCTGATTTGGGGTGCTCTATAGTCCTGGGCCACAGTCTAAAAGGACTGATGATGGGAATGGGTGAATGGAATGCAACTGCCTTTGCTCACAGGGAAGACATCTTTGGCACATCAGTTTGTGGAAAGTGAGTTCTTGGAAGGATATGATCCTACAGTGGAGAACAGTGAGTAGTCTTGTCTCCTTTAGTGTGAAGAGGAGGGAACCTGGAGTGCTTGGATGCCCGCCCAGTTCCATAATTTGGGATTTCCCTGTTGCCAAAGGCTGATTTATTTAGTCCTTAAAGCTAATCTCTCTAGCAATCCTGTAGATACTGAGTACCCTAGAGCTGAGCATGGTGGCCCATGCCTTTAATCCCAGGACTGAGGAGGCTGAGTCAGGAGGATCACAAATGCAAGACCAGCCTGAACTACACAGTGAGACCCTGTCTCAAAACAAAAACAACAACAACAGCAAAAACCCTAGCTCGTTGCTCTAGTTTCCTGGAAAACTCTGTGGGCCAGATACAATTATGTAACCCCCAGGGTAAAGTATATATGGGTCACACATTGCTGGCTCCACAAGACATGTCACAATCAAGTTTTGTTTTCTTTTCAGCTTACAACAAGATAGTGACTCTTGGCAAAGATGAGTTTCACCTACAGCTGGTGGACACAGCTGGGCAGGTATCAATTGGGGGAGGGTATCCAACCATGGTAGTTTAGCCCTAGGAGATGAAGTCTGGTAGCCTCTGGTTCATGTGTAAAGCAGTATTACAAGAATAGTATTTTAGCTGGGCATGGTAGTGCATGTCTGTAATCCTAGCATGGGGGAGGCTGAGGCAGGATTGCTGTGCGTTTGAGGCCAGCATAGGCTACTTAGTAAATGCGAGGCCAGCCTGAACTACTAGCAAGACCCTGTCTCAAAAAACAAAAAGTATTTTAACTTCTGATAGTGTGCTGTGCAGGGCTTAATGGAACTGCTCTATAAATACTTGTTGACAAGAAGTAATGAGCAGGGAGTGCCCCAGGGAGGGTCACTTGGATGTTGTTCCTCCAGCCTTTGGCATCTGAGTGGTGTGGATCTAGGTACTGATGTTTCTATTTCTTGTCAGGATGAGTACAGCATTCTTCCCTACTCATTCATCATTGGGGTCCATGGTTATGTGCTTGTGTATTCTGTCACCTCTCTGCATAGGTAAGCGACCAAGGCTGTGAGTGGGGGACTTGGGAGGACCTGAGGACTTCCCAGAATTAAGGTTATAGCTCTATTTCTTGTATTTAAAGCTTCCAAGTTGTTCAGAGCCTGTACCAGAAGCTACACCAAGGCCATGGGAAGACCCGGTAGGTGGCCCATGGGATAGTCACAGTGTGGGGATGAAAAGGTGGGAGAGAGCAGAGAGGTGAACTGTCCAAGTCACAGACAAGGCTAGGACATATATCACTGCTGGTTTGATGGGACATGAAGGCCTGGATGTAAAGGGAATGGGGTCCTTGGAACGAACACGGGAGAGAATCCTGTTTCCTGCTGTTTCCTCACAGGTTGCCGGTGGTGCTAGTGGGGAACAAGGCAGATCTTTCTCCAGAGAGGTATGTAAATCTCTACTGCTCAGGGAGAAGGAAAGTGAGATGAACTCAGTCAAGTTCTAGTCCTGGCTTTCCACTGGCTCAAGTCATTTCGCTTCTCTTCATTTCTGACTTGATTAAGAAAAGATAGCCTTTCTATCACCAGACCCACAGTTGTATTATTTTAAGCCTCAGTTCTGGATTCACACATTGTTCCTTTACTTACCTATATTTTCTCCTTCAGTCTTTGGCTTAAAGCTTGGGGAGGTCTGATGCATCAGAAGAAGTCTAGATTGTAAGTTTTACAGAGAACTTGGAAAGGTTGCTATCTTTCATCTTTATGTCTCAAATATGCTTCCAGAGAGGTACATGCAGTCCAAGGGAAGAAACTAGCAGAATCCTGGGGTGCAACATTTATGGAGTCATCTGCTCGAGAGAATCAGGTGCTGTGCTGAATGCTAGGAAGGTGGTGGGGGTACCAGTGTCTTCTTGTACATTTCTTTGTGCTGAGGATGATGGGGCTGTGATAGTCACCCTAGAGAAAGGTGACATTGACACTGAACTGATTTTCCTTGAATGCCTATCCCTTCCTTGTAGCTAACTCAAGACGTCTTCACCAAAGTCATCCAGGAGATTGCCCGTGTGGAGAATTTTTATGGGCAAGAGCACCGATGCTATCTCATGTGAACGCTTGGTCCTGGGGTGACTGCCTCATTTCTGCCCTTGGCACTTGTGAGGCTCCAGTGGAGGTGGACCCTCAGGACTGCACGGGTATGCTTGCCAGTGTGTCTGTGGCTCTCTGGACACACAGTGTGGTACCCTCATATTTGCACACTTTCCCTAGGTTAGTGGCCTGGGTGTGTATGTTTACAAACAGGCAGGGATGTCTTCTGGGCACTGGTCCCCTAACCCCGTTTTTGCTTAAATGAATTGTTACAATCTGTGGGGTTGGTATTTGAGTCCTGGGCATTGTTTACGTGGGTTCATCCTCTGTAGGTTTTGGGTGTTGGGTGGGTAAGGAGAGATACGGACTCTGAAATAGAGCTGGCTCCCTGGGGTGACAATGTATATATGCAAATAAAATGAGAAATCTGTTGTTGTTGACTTCTTTGTACCTGGGAGAGCCTGGGCAATATTGTATCTTCTTTTCCAAGGCGTAATGGCTGTGGTATTTGGTGATCTTTCTTCCTACCTCATTCCTAGTCCTTATTCCTCACTTATTAAGGACCATTACTCTAAGACTTACTGCTTGCTTTTCTCACCTTCCTATTCTGTTGGGTTCTCCCAGTACTGTAGTTTCTTGGATGCCCCACCCATCCAAGTTTGATCCTTTAACTGCAGAAACACCACCCTCTAGTGGCTAGCTGTCACATGTTGACCTAGCCGTCCTTGAACCTTGGCATTTGCTGCAACTCGGGTAAGATTTGGGGAGGAGGAAGGAAGCCCCTCACTCCTAAGGAGAGCTGGGTGTGGTGGTCCATGTCTGTAATCCCAGCACTTGAGAGACTTGAGGCAGTAGAATGAAGAGTTTAAGGCCAGCCTGAACTGCTTAGTGAGATCCTATCTGAAAAAATAAAATCAGGAAGGAATATAAAAGCAGAAAATAAAAGTGTTATGAAGATTTTGACTTTAGAAAGTTGCAAGGAAATAATACTCCTAGTGCATCTCAGTCCATGTGCCCCTCATTTTCTCATATTAATCTCTTTCATTGTAATAATAGGCATTCATACATCTGGTGGTCTTTTTGTACCTTTCACACTTTTGGAATTGTGCAGTTTTTAAAAAATTAATTTTATTGGTACATTTAATGTATACAATATAATGACATTCATTGTTGGAAATTTGTACCTTTACATAATCAACCTAGGTTCTTATTTTTTCCCCACTTTCTACTTTTCTTGACTCCTTCTTGCTCCTAGCCTGAGAGCCTAACTGGCCCAATGCTTCTCCAAGGAAATGTGAGTTACCTGAGTGATGTTATAGTGTCATCTTCAGAGTGAGGACAAAGACCTCCTGCTGAGAGAGGTTGAAGTACCCTATTAATATACTTATTTGAGGAGGATAGACAGAATCTAGGTGTGATTCCCCCCCCCCTGCATACTGGAGATTGAACTCAGGACCTTGAGCTTGCCAGACAGGTGTGGTGCTGCTGAGCTACATCCCTGGCCCTCTAGGTGTGATTTTTAGTCCTTATGTTAATATCTGGCTCTAGGTGTATAGTTGGAGGTGATGGTTTGTCATTTGATTTTCAAAAACCAGCTGCTTTTCTTCCTCAGATCCAGAATCCAAAAAAGAATAAGGGCTGCTGGAAAAAACATACACTAAGAGCAATCTCAGTGGCTTAAGAGGTTCTTTAGGCCGGTCACAATCTTCTGTTATTACAATTAGGTTTTTTTTTACATCTGAGCAGGAGAATCATTCCAGGGTTCTACCACTAATGTATCCATCAGGTCAGGGATAAACTTATGAATGTCTGATGTTTCCCAGACATTTATCAAAAAGCAATCTTGAGCCCTAGAGACAAGTGATTATAGTTGGTTAATAGCTTCTCCATAAATACAGCCACTTGGGCAGTCAATCTCTCTGAGCCTTGGTTTTATTTGTGAAATATTAAATCTGCTTCAGAGGGTTGAGGTGAGGATTAAGTGAGATGGTATGTTTAGCATTCTATATTCTACATAACCCCTTAGAAATGGTAGCCCTTGGAGTGGTGATTTAGCTCAGTGGTTCCGCTGCCTGCCTTGCAAGCACAAGGCTCCAAGTTTGATTCCCCCATACCAGAAAAGAAAAAAAAAAAGGTAGTTGTCTTATTGGAAGTCCTGGTGAGGGTCTGCCTTCCCTGTCTCTGGTACAGACTAGGGAAGTGCTTTCCATTTTCCAACTTCATCTCTTTGTTAACTTATTCTACTACAGTAGAAACGTGCAATGTCACTGCTGGTTTTTTTGTTGTTTTTCTTTGAAATGGACTTGGGTGGTCAGCAGAGACCATGATGCTAATTATGTGGATAGCAGAGGGCCTGATCCGTTCTATGACCAAGGCCAGGTCTCCTGCCCTGTTCAATATGAAAGTCACAAGTTACGTATGGCTATGTAAATTTAAATAAAGTTAGTTCTTCACTTGCACTACCTACATTTCAAAGAGCCCAATAGCTACATGTGATTATGAGTGTCAAATTGGACCATGTAGACAGAGTACACTTGCATCACTGCAGAAAGTTGTGCTGGAAACCCTTCACAAAACAAGCTGTGGGCCTAATTTGCCTACCTGTTTTCCCACCTCTTCCTTTTAAAAAAGTTTTTCTTTTTAAATTCTAGGAATAACATGGCCTTTGGTTTAAATCATGGCTCAAGTTCTCACAATGTGATTCCTTGGGCAATTTTACCTATTTTAGCGTGTCTTTTTATCTGTAATATGGGGATAATTCCATGTAACTCACCATGTGGGTAGGAGTAACTAAGATATAAATCTATCACATCGTTTGTCTCCTCTTGCCTACTTCAAGTGTACGTATAGCTCAAGCAGAAAATGCATTCCAATCTATTCCCTCATCTAGACTTGGATGAGGGTGCCTGACAGGAGTGTTTCCTACAGTCTTGTCCAGAGTAATCGTATTTTGGCCAGGTAGTAGCAATGCTATCTTAGCCTATATATTAAAAAAAAAAAAAAAAAAAAAAAAAGGTGTAGGGGCAGTCCTTGGAAATTTGTAAAGACTAAAGGAGAGGGTGGGGAGACCCTGAAAATGTTCCCCAGGGAAGCTCTATATTAATGTTTTGTTGGGGAGGTGGTGTATGTTGGTTATTGTGTGGGCAACGACAGTCCTTCCTCACGAGGGGGTCCGAGTGTCAGAAGACCAGGGACTTGTCCAGTTCTTCGGGCCCCCCAACGTGGCAAGAAACCACCCTTTGCAACACCAGGCGCCGTGCCTCACTTTCTCCATTTGCGGACTCCAGTTCCCAGGATGCAGAGCAGCGGCCAATCTCCTCTTCTTCCATCTCCCTCCCGGGAAACATTGCCCCTGGCCAAGGCAAGGGGACAGCAGGAGTTTCAGGGAGCGATGACTACAAGGCAACGGAACTAGAAAGTGGCCAGCACCCTAGCTTCACCGCCCAGGAGGTAAACGGAGCAGTTCCAGGGCCCGAGCGAAAAGCAGGGGGGCTTCATTCCCACGTGTCTGCCCAGCGGCCGGCCCGGCGCAGTCGGGGTTAACCTGAGGCGGAGGGATTCCCCCAGCGTGTGCGTAGAACTGCAGAGTCACAGCCTTTCCTCCGAGAGGGCCGTATCCCTGCGCCGCCCCGCTCCAACACAAAATAGGGCCGCATCTTCTCCTTTCTCCCCTTCTCGAGTGGGGTTCCCCGAGCAAAAGGCCTCCCCCCAGATCTCGCGCCGGAGACTTCACGAATCTCCAAGACCGCTGCCCAGATCTCGGGCCTGAAAATAGCCCCTTCGCAGGAACCACCCTACCGGCCGAACAGGAGGCGGAGGGGGGGAGGCGGAGCGGCGCCGCGCTGCACTACTTTCCTCTCCGGTTGCAAATGGCTGCCTCGTTCCCCACTTTCCGCTCAGTTTCCTGACCCCCGGCGCCGGGAGCCGGGGCTGAGCCATGCACCTCTAGGCCCCTCGCGATCACAGCCAGCCGGGGGGTCTAGGGGGTGCCGCCAACCGG